GCACTGTAGTGTTTAACAGTGTTGTTGTAGGAAGATGCATGACATGCAACACCGTAACAGAATCATTTTTATTTTGTATACTTCTGGTTTTGATTAGAAAATGAATTTTAACCATATATAAAAATTAACATAGTTATTGCTGATAAAAATTGAGACATTATTATGATTTTATCTTTCTTTGAGGGTGCTGCAATTCTATTCTACAATGCTTATCACAAGTTATCACTGCTATTCACATATATGCCAATGGATATATCAAAGTGCAGAATGTGTGTAGTGAATCACTCTCCATTTGAAATGTAGGTGGAAACACTGTAGGCTCACACTGCAGTGAAAGACTGGAGTAAGCACTTCTGAAATGGTCAGTCATTGTTGACTGATGATGCCAGACCAGGACAAGCACATTGTGCGATCAAAGAGATTACAGTAGGGGAAGTGGACAGACTCATTTAGGATGACAGATAAGCACTGGCACTAAGTCACTGTGAAAGCACTGGCACTGAGTCACTGTGAAAGCACTGGCAACTGAGGTTGAAATAAGCATCAGTAGCATGCACACCATTACCTGTGAGCATCTACAGTACCGAAAGATCTATGCCCGGTGGGTGCTGCACAACTTGATGTCTGTGCAAAAAGACCTTTGCATGGGTCTGTCATTGGAAAATTTGCTGTGGTACTGCAATGAAGGTCATCATTTCAGAGAGAATTGTTACAGGAGACAAAACATGGTGCTTTCATTTCCAACCAGAAAGCAAGACAGAGCACCCAGTAAAAGCACATGTCATCTCCATCACCTAAGAAATCAAAGGGAATGCAGACAACAAGAAAGATAATGTTGACTGGTATGTGAAAACTTTAAAATCTCTGTGAGCTTCCATCAAGTCCAAGTGGCTTGGTCTGCTTTTGCAAAATGTCATCCTTCTTCATGACAATGCCTGCCCTCACCAATGTTCCTTCTAATTTTTTTTGTAGATGAGCAGAACATACTTCTCTGAGCAAAAAAAAAAGATCTGTCTATCATTATTTTTCAGACCTCTCAATTTTAGAAGATCCATAAATTCCAAAAAACTAAATGTTATCTACTATAACATGCAGTTTGAATGAAAGATTAGCCTATATAATTGTAAAATGGGGTGTGTTAGATACTGTTACTCATCTGCAGAAAGTGTTACCATCTAAGTTTTCACTATACATAAAAAGCCTTTGTAAAAGTAATTACTATATTCATTACTCAAATACTATAATTGGTGTCTTATTTACATGGTTTTTATGGTATGTACCATACATTTTGAATTGGAAATGATATACAAATTTATAAGTATCTCATCAATGCACATATTAGGTCCAAACTACAAAGATTTAGACAACTTTCAACAAAAAACATTGAATATATTTGAAATTGGACTTTCAAATCATTCTTTTTCTTTTCCTTCTGGTTTCAGGATTATCAAATCTTAGATATAGCTAGTGGTTCTGTAAACCTTTCACTCATAACAGAATGTTGGTAGTGCCCCAGTGAACAATGAAATGGAAAATTGGCTGTTGGGCTGAAATTTGAAAAAAATTGTAAACCTATAAATTCCCATTGTTGTCCGTCCATCTCTCTTTCCTTAATTTTCAGAACGGAATTAGATAGATTAAATCCATGACCAGATATGGAAACCTTATAGTCAATCAGGGTCTCCTGCCTCTATATGAACTTCTGGTTTGCACTGGAAGTCATGTTATTTCAATTCAAAAGTTTTCCCCTGAAAGCAGTTAACAGATAATCAGCACAACTCTATTGTTAAAAGGAAAAGTATGGTGTATAGGGGCAAGATACTACTAATTTGAGGTGAAGAGAATATATTTTAAATTAAATAAATTAAAAATATGATTAAAAATTGAAGCCCAGCATTGTGATGATCTCACAACAAATAATTACTCATTTTCTAATGTGTACTTATTTACAATGCATTCTGTAGATAACATCTACAGAATGCATTGTAAATATTATATAGAATGTCATCTGCAAAGCATTTGTTAAAGCATTCAGGGTGAACAAAGGTCAACCAGCTATTGCAAATGTCAAAAGATCAGTAGTACAGAAGGCAATGACTTGCATTTGTTTGGCATCATCATGATAGAGCCATTTCCAAACAACATCACTGTTATGAAAGAACTTTACTATTAATACCTTGATCACTTGAAAATCAATATCAAAGAACTTCATCCAAAAAACTGACAAAATTTAATACTGCCATGACAATACAACAGAACATAGAGCAAAGGTAACCTTAGAGAAGCTGACCAGTCTGGGCTGTTAGCTTCTGCCTCATCTATCTCATAGCTAGACTTGGTGCCGACTGACTACTATCTATTTTGAACGCTGTACAACCATATTTCCAATAATTTATACAATTCTATGACAATACCTAATAGTCAAGATTTTCTTCAAAGAAAAACCAGTCATTCTATGCATTCACAGGATTGAAAGTTTGCAGCAAAGATGGCAAGACATGATTGATATTGTTACCATGCTGGGGTTAAAGTAGAAGCTGAATGAGAGCTACAAAGGGTCATAGTGATAAGTTGTCCTAGTCAGTGCCATTAGTGATCAATATGGTTATATCTAAAATTAGTCTGGCTGCAGAGATTGGATGGAGGTCTGGAGCAATGTGTCTGCACAGTAAACAGGAGTTGTGGGTTAGAGTCTTGTTCTGGGCCAATCTTTTTTTCCAGAATGTTCTAAAATTAAATTAATTATTTTTTTATAATTATTATTTAGGATTAATTTTATTATGGGGGTCCTTCCTCACTGCCCTTGCCATTTTTTGGTACTGTTTAGCTCTATGGTCCAATGGTGATAATTCTGTTAGTTCCCAGTGACACATTGAATGTGTCACCTTAAACAAAGAAGCAAGTTCGTAGGAAAAGTTATAATCATATCCTTTATGATTTTTTTCCTTTCAAGAAAAAATTTTTTTGAATAAAAATTTTCATCAAGTCTGGGCTCTCACACAAATATAACATCTAAAACCCAATAGTTATATACTAAAGCCAATTGCCAGATAATATTGAGCCTACCTCTAGTGCCAAATTATTTAGCATTTAATTATTAATAGTAGTAGTAATAGAGCTTGATATAATCTGGCAATCATTTGGCTGTAATAGTTCAGAGAAAAAGTAATTAATTTTATAAATTATACTTATAAGATTAAATCTAACAGATTTCAACTATATGTTAAAATTTCTTTTCTGAGTCAAAACATAATTTAATTTATACGGACTATTTTATTAGCATTCTAGTCCTGTTAAATTCAAATTTTTATGTTCTACTAGCTTACCCGCCGCGCATTGCTGCAATCTCAGAAGAAACAAAATTCATGCAAACTCGTTATGATAAAATTAAATTTACATTTTATCATTTTTATTGAAACTTATTATTATAACTTTCAATAAAAATGATTTGCTTGAATTATTATTCATTTTCATCGGGAAAACATTTCAAAGTATCATTTCAATTCTATTTATTTATTGGAGTGCTTATGGATACAAGATATTTTGTTTTTTTGTCTGATGCGTACATGAATAAGTCAGAAGGTTTCTGACGCGTGAGCTGGCCACATACAGTTGTCCATGTGAGAAGCACGGATTCTCCAAATCTAGCCCACACACTTGCAGCGATTGTCAGAAGTGCGATATTCCCCATTTTTATATATATTTTTTAATCCTTTACAATTTTAATTATTTAGTTGCTCCTTCCTCTCTTCCTTGGCATGTTGTGAAATTTCTGATAGTTGGATAATAAACCATTTTATTGTAATTTGTCTTTTTAAATTATTTTGAGTCGATATTAAAATTTGGAAAAGTGGGATCCCTAGATTGGTAAAATAGGCAAGTTTCCTCCTACAACTTCAGTTGTTGTTTGGGATACAGTTAAAATTTTAACAAAGTCGAGCAAATATCAATACATAATTAGCAAAAAAAAAAGTTGAAATAAAGTGATTAAACAAAAATGATTACAAATATGGTAAATAACAGTTCACAAATGCATATATAGAAATATTTTTTGGAGGGGAGAAATGGTCTTCACAATTTGAAATCAATCGAACTCACGATGTTTGTATACACTCGCACCATCTATCATAGGATAAATGTACTGTGCCAGAAACCTTAGCGGGAGTGTATTAAAAAACTTCCCAAAGTTTCATGGCAATCGTACTATGCCAGAAACCTTCACAAAAGTATATTAAACAACTTTCCAAAGTTTCATAGCAATTGGATAAACGGTGTGGTAATGCATGAAGGACATACAGACAGACATACATTCATTTTTATATATATAGATTAGTATTCCAGAACTTTTGAACTTAATTCCACTTATATTTAGTCTTTTGCTTGATGATAAAGTTTTACTGAAAATAATTTCTTTGTGTTGTCAATACTGTGTTCTTAATTTATTAAAGTAACAATGTAAAAGAAAAACACAGAAAAAACTAAGTATTCATTCTCTTGAAAATAAAAAAAATAGATTGTTTATTAAAAATTAGTTAGATTGGTTAAAAGATTGTTAATAATAAATAAATAATACAGAAAAAAAATTAGGAATAAAACAGTAAATTTGTATTTAAAGTTGAGCATTTAAAATAAAAAGATAAGCAATAATCTTAATCAATATGCATCAATGTCCTTAATTCAAGTAGTTATTCTTTTAATCACCATAACAGTGTATTTCTATTAATAGGACTTATTATACTGGTGTATAAGATTACAGCAACTCAGTCACACAGATTAAAATTGTTTTATTTACAATTACCTGGACACATACAAATTGCGTTTCGGACCTGTATGTCCCTCTTCAGCAGGTATTTTACAAACAAATTCTAAATAAATAAAATTCATACAATAAGCAAACTAATTTACCGACAATATTTTTAAAAAAATTTTTATGCCTACGATAATAAATTAAAAATTCATACTGTTTTGATGTTCTTTCTTTCAAATCTACTTTTTCTCCAATAATTCAGTCCAATAACAATTAATATCCATTTTAAAACATTCCTGTATTAAAATCAAACCAATAATTGTTCCATTAAACTCTAACCTTAAACGTTAACATTTTACATAGTTTTGTACATTTAAAACAAATTCTAACTTACATTTCTACTTGTCTTTCTTCACTTTCACTTTGTCTTTCCCGGTCACTATTGTTCCCTTTATACGTCGATTTCCTGTTTGTGTCTATCATTCTTCTCCATGATTGGTGTATTTCTCTTCCGTTATTGTTATTCATTCTAATGTTTTGTTTGATTATATTAATGTGTTCGTATAATTGTCGTTTATAATTATTTTCTTCTTTTTTTCTTATTTTAACTGATTTTAATATTATTTCACATCCTGTTGAATTGCAGTGTTCCGCTACTGCAGAATTTGCATAATTTCCACGTATTGCTCTAATATGTTCTTTTAATCGTATCCCCAATTTTCTCTTTGTTTCTCCAATATATGTTTTTTCTGGATTACAATTACAATCAAATGAATACAGAACACCTTTTTCTTCCATTATATCATTTTTTTCCTCATTTCTATAACATAAATGTTTCTTCATTATATTGACTTTTTCTGGTATTATATTAATTTTCTTACCTAATAATTTTTTGACTCTTTCAAATACTTTTGGGATATACCTTATTTTCACAAATTTTTTCTCTTTATCTATTAACTTTTTTGATTGCTTATTATTTTCTATATTTTTAACCCATTTATTTAATAATGTTTTTGGATAATCATTAAAAATAAACATTTTTATAATATCATCTTCTTCTTTTTCCTGTGTTTCTATCTCCGTTGTTCGTTGTCTTATTTTACTTATATACATTTTAAATATATTATATTTCATATTGATAGGTATAATTGATTTATAATTGATTGTTTTTGGAATCTGCATAGGTTTTATATATTTTTTATAAATTAATTTATCTTATTTTCTTATAATTGTTATGTCTAAATAATTAATGCTATTTTGTTTTTCTTTCTCTAATTCAAATTTAATATTTTCTTTTATCTCATTAGTTTTACTTATAATTGTTTTTTCATCTGTCTTTCTTTTATCAAATATTATAATACAATCATCAACATACCTTCTATAAAATTCTATACCTTCTATATTTCTAATTTGCTCATCTATTTGTATCATTGATATTTCTGCCAGTTTTGGACCTATGCAAGTACCCATAGGTATTCCATCCTTCTGGGTGTAGAAATTATTTCCAAACTGAAAGTAATTATTTTTAATTATAATTAAACATAATTTAATTTATCCAATTGGGTGTATTTATTCTCATTAATGAATTTTCTATATCTTCTATTGTAATACTCGGATACATATTAACTATATCAAGTGATATTAAATTCTTATATTTATCAATTTTAATATTTTGTAAACTTTTTAACAACTCATCCACATTTTTAATACTATATTTAGATTCCTGTAACAAATATGATTTATTTTTTAAAAATTTTTCTAAGTTATAATATATATAATTTTTAACGTCTATTAAAGGTCTATATTTAATAGGATTTTTATGTGTGTTTACCCGTATATTGAATTTTGGTGTCCTATTATCTTCTCTTTTTATATGTTTGATGTCTTCTTCTATTATATATAATTTACTTTTTAAACTTTTCAATTTGATATCTAAGGATTTTATTAGTTGGTTCACTGGATCTTTATTAAGTCTTTTGTAATTTCCTTCATTAATTAATTCTTCAATTACTTTTATCTTCTTTTCTTTTTCCATTATTATTATTTGTTTTGTCTTGTCACCTTGAAGTATATCTAAATTATTATTACTTAAAAATGTTTTTACATTGTTTAATTGTTTCCTATAGTTATTAATTTTATTTTTTGTTTTTTTATTTAATTTTCTATTTTGTATTATTTTTTGCATACCTGTTCTTATTTGTTCTCTTTCTTCTTCTGGGAACTTCCATAACAAATGTTCTGTCATTACAGCAAAATCTTCAGTTTTCATTATTTCAGGTCCATTATAGTCCAATCCTAGTTTTAAAGTCCTTTGTATTGGGCCTGGAATTTCTATATCCGTCATGTTCACAATTAACTTCTTTTCATAATCTTCTTTTTCTATATAAGTCGGATATCCAATTTTCTTAACTAAATTATTGTATTTATTCTGAATAAGAGAAACAAAGGGAAATCAAAAAATGAATGTACTAGTAAGTTCTTTCAGAATAAATACAATAATTTAGTTAAGAAAATTGGATATCCGACTTATATAGAAAAAGAAGATTATGAAAAGAAGTTAATTGTGAACATGACGGATATAGAAATTCCAGGCCCAATACAAAGGACTTTAAAACTAGGATTGGACTATAATGGACCTGAAATAATGAAAACTGAAGATTTTGCTGTAATGACAGAACATTTGTTATGGAAGTTCCCAGAAGAAGAAAGAGAACAAATAAGAACAGGTATGCAAAAAATAATACAAAATAGAAAATTAAATAAAAAAACAAAAAATAAAATTAATAACTATAGGAAACAATTAAACAATGTAAAAACATTTTTAAGTAATAATAATTTAGATATACTTCAAGGTGACAAGACAAAACAAATAATAATAATGGAAAAAGAAAAGAAGATAAAAGTAATTGAAGAATTAATTAATGAAGGAAATTACAAAAGACTTAATAAAGATCCAGTGAACCAACTAATAAAATCCTTAGATATCAAATTGAAAAGTTTAAAAAGTAAATTATATATAATAGAAGAAGACATCAAACATATAAAAAGAGAAGATAATAGGACACCAAAATTCAATATACGGGTAAACACACATAAAAATCCTATTAAATATAGACCTTTAATAGACGTTAAAAATTATATATATTATAACTTAGAAAAATTTTTAAAAAATAAATCATATTTGTTACAGGAATCTAAATATAGTATTAAAAATGTGGATGAGTTGTTAAAAAGTTTACAAAATATTAAAATTGATAAATATAAGAATTTAATATCACTTGATATAGTTAATATGTATCCGAGTATTACAATAGAAGATATAGAAAATTCATTAATGAGAATAAATACACCCAATTGGATAAATTAAATTATGTTTAATTATAATTAAAAATAATTACTTTCAGTTTGGAAATAATTTCTACACCCAGAAGGATGGAATACCTATGGGTACTTGCATAGGTCCAAAACTGGCAGAAATATCAATGATACAAATAGATGAGCAAATTAGAAATATAGAAGGTATAGAATTTTATAGAAGGTATGTTGATGATTGTATTATAATATTTGATAAAAGAAAGACAGATGAAAAAACAATTATAAGTAAAGCTAATGAGATAAAAGAAAATATTAAATTTGAATTAGAGAAAGAAAAACAAAATAGCATTAATTATTTAGACATAACAATTATAAGAAAATAAGATAAATTAATTTATAAAAAATATATAAAACCTATGCAGATTCCAAAAACAATCAATTATAAATCAATTATACCTATCAATATGAAATATAATATATTTAAAATGTATATAAGTAAAATAAGACAACGAACAACGGAGATAGAAACACAGGAAAAAGAAGAAGATGATATTATAAAAATGTTTATTTTTAATGATTATCCAAAAACATTATTAAATAAATGGGTTAAAAATATAGAAAATAATAAGCAATCAAAAAAGTTAATAGATAAAGAGAAAAAATTTGTGAAAATAAGGTATATCCCAAAAGTATTTGAAAGAGTCAAAAAATTATTAGGTAAGAAAATTAATATAATACCAGAAAAAGTCAATATAATGAAGAAACATTTATGTTATAGAAATGAGGAAAAAAATGATATAATGGAAGAAAAAGGTGTTGTGTATTCATTTGATTGTAATTGTAATCCAGAAAAAACATATATTGGAGAAACAAAGAGAAAATTGGGGATACGATTAAAAGAACATATTAGAGCAATACGTGGAAATTATGCAAATTCTGCAGTAGCGGAACACTGCAATTCAACAGGATGTGAAATAATATTAAAATCAGTTAAAATAAGAAAAAAAGAAGAAAATAATTATAAACGACAATTATACGAACACATTAATATAATCAAACAAAACATTAGAATGAATAACAATAACGGAAGAGAAATACACCAATCATGGAGAAGAATGATAGACACAAACAGGAAATCGACGTATAAAGGGAACAATAGTGACCGGGAAAGACAAAGTGAAAGTGAAGAAAGACAAGTAGAAATGTAAGTTAGAATTTGTTTTAAATGTACAAAACTATGTAAAATGTTAACGTTTAAGGTTAGAGTTTAATGGAACAATTATTGGTTTGATTTTAATACAGGAATGTTTTAAAATGGATATTAATTGTTATTGGACTGAATTATTGGAGAAAAAGTAGATTTGAAAGAAAGAACATCAAAACAGTATGAATTTTTAATTTATTATCGTAGGCATAAAAATTTTTTTAAAAATATTGTCGGTAAATTAGTTTGCTTATTGTATGAATTTTATTTATTTAGAATTTGTTTGTAAAATACCTGCTGAAGAGGGACATACAGGTCCGAAACGCAATTTGTATGTGTCCAGGTAATTGTAAATAAAACAATTTTAATCTGTGTGACTGAGTTGCTGTAATCTTATACACCAGTATAATAAGTCCTATTAATAGAAATACACTGTTATGGTGATTAAAAGAATAATAATCTTAATCATCTATTTTCATTTTTTCAATGCAGAAAGCAAGATTTTTAAGACTAACAATTCTGTTAAATGTTAAGTTTCAGCTGTTAATTTCTCATAACTAGGATTATACATTTATAATTAAAATCAGATTTAATGCTTGTCATTCCCCACTTTTTTCATAATCCTGGGATTCTGGTATTCTAAATTATAAATCCCAAATAAATTTAATTTTTTTATGAGAGACAGTATACTCATCTGAGCTTTTAATAAAAAATTTAAAAATCACCAAACAGATATAACAAATTATTAATGGCTAGTATATAACTCTTGTTAGATTTATCATCTTTAAAAAGAAAAAATTTTATTTATATTTGTTATTTTGTTAAAAGGCTTTACAATGGAAAGGTATCAAAATGAAAATAAGAACATGCTATAAATTTCAAATATAGATGTTTTAAATGCTTAGGCCATATGTTAATCCATTCTGAAAATGTAAATTTAATAAAGATAAGAATAGTGATAATTGTGAATATTGGAGTCATTCTTTATTCAAATTGTTACTTTCTTATGTTTTGTTTCTCTTCACTTTCCCATTTTACAATTTTCTTCTCCATTATATCAAAGACCATGTACTGGCTGCAAGTTTCTAAAACAACTACACAAGTTATTCAGTATTTATCAGAAATTATTCTGATTTTTAAAACATTTAATGCAAAACTAAGATACTATCACTCAAAAATTGGGCATACTTAAACTAAGCCACTAAAATATCTAATATCCAGGAAAAAAGTTTGGAGGTGCTAATGTTTTCGCCAGTGTTGAATGGGCATCATCAGGCAAACTAATCCCCCAGCTGCTGAAACACAGGGGATTGCCATACATGTGTGAAGAGGGGAGGTGACGTAAGAGAAGCACTCCCTCTTCACTTCATTCTCTGCTGGATATTAGTTTTTTAGTGGCTTTAGTTCAAGTATCCCTTCTTACATCACCTCCCCTCTTCACACATGTACAGCAATCCCCATTGTTTCAGCAGCTGGGAGATTACTTTGCCTGACGATGTCCATTCAACACAGGCAAAAACGTTAATATTCAGCAGATAAGTTTGGAGGTGTTATGTTTTTTTTAGTGACTTTAGTGCAAAACTAAGTAATAAATAACATTTTGCTGAGTAAAACTTACACAATTACAGTAAACCCCTTGATTTAACAGACTTCAGGTTTAATGGACAAAATTTCTAGTCCATGTTATATGGAAAATTAATACCTGATTAATTTTTAAATGCTTTTTAAATGTAATTAAATTAACAGGATTTAGTATTTCACCCACAGTGTCAAAGAGAGATTGAATTTATTATTTCACAGGATTTTTTCAAATCCAAGAGTCACTGTTCTTAAGAACATTATTTATTTGTTTAGGTTAAATACAATTAAAGTGTATTTTCCAAAAAATGTTTATTTATTTCGATTTAGATTGTATACTTGTTTATTACAGTCTCAGACCTACAGTCAGTACATAAGCAATAAATAATACATATAGAAAACTTTTCTGTAAAATTAAACTTCTCACACATACTTAATTTTAATTACTCAAACATAGCTACATAAGTAAAAAAATATTAATTAATTTGTCAATTTTTTAACACACAGCATTTGGAAAACCTACTTTATTATAAAATGGACTTTCAGCTTTAACAGACATTCCCTCATCCACATTAGTCCATTAAATAAAGAT